TCCTTTCAGATGTATAATGGTGAAGAATTAGAAAAAACAAACAGTGCTATATTTGTATAATGAAACTCCATTCCATTTGGAAGAATATTTAGAGAGCAAGGAAAAGGCTCATAATATATTGCTAAGTGGTGAAAGCAAGTTATAAAACATTAGATATAATATGATTCAGATATCAGTGTGGTGTGTGTACAGTCCTTTCATTTTTCTTATACTGTACTTCCTTTGTTTTCCATATTTTTATTTTCTGAGTTGGGGTCTTACTCTGTCATCCAGGCTGGAGTGCAGTGGCATACTGATGTCCCACTGCAGCCTCAATCTCCTGGGCTCAGTCAATCCTTCTGCTTCAGTATTTCAAGTACCTAGGACTCCAGGCATGAGCCACCATGCCTAGCTAAGTTTTTTATTTATTGTAGAGACAAGGTCTCACCAGGTAGCCTAGGCTGGTCTTGGGCTGGGCAACAAGGCAAGACCTTGTTGTTTCTATAATAAGTCAAAAAATTCGTCAGGCATGGTGACACCACACCTGTAGTTCCAGCTCCTTGGAAGGCTAGGCAGAAAGATAGCCTGAGCCCAGCAGGTCAAGGCTGTGGTGGCTGTGTGTGCCACTGCACTCCAGCCTGGGATACAGAGTAAGTCTCTGTCTCAAAAATAAAATAAAAAATAAACAGTCTAAAATACCCAAACCTTTAGTACCCAAATCTTGGCTCCTAAATATCATACTCCCAAATCAGGCATATCGACTCAGAGTTCCTTGAAGAAATGGCTGACTCTGGGAATGAGACAGGAACTAGATGAGCCTGGAACATCTTTTTTGTGCCAGAAAGTAAGAAAATCATCCAAAAAATGATGGGGCTATATTAAAAGGACACAGGAACCCGCTTAAAGGAGCTCTTACTTGCTAAGTTTGGAACAATTTAAGCATGAAAATGAGTAACAACAGCAATGGCTTATAACATTTTGAATTTGAAAAAGAATCTTTAACTCTAAAGTCAAACAATAAATAAATGGAAAGATGAATAAATAACTAAAGGAAGAAAAGAAGAAATAAGGAGGGAAAACTCATTTATCCTAGAATTTTTTGCTTTCTACAAACCAAATCATCATCATAATATTTGATTCAAACAAGAAATCATTAATGAACACTAAAAACATTGAGTAAATGTTTGTTGAGGGAAGGTGTTTGCAAAGCTTCAAAGTATCTACTAACAGTTTAATTATTACTTAAAGAAAAATAGGTATTTTTACTGTGGAGCAATTGGGTGAACCCCTCTTAACCAAAGGTTGAAAACTAATATCACCAAGTAATCCCCTCAAGTCCTATCCCACTATGGAAGCTTTCTTGTCCTCTCAATAAATCCTGCTTTCAAAAAAAAAAAACAACTCGTATCACTAATAATGGGACAAAGACATCACTGGGACAAAGACATCACAAGACACCCACGAAGACATACTGAGAACACGTGACCTATGTAATATTCCTACCAAAACTACATATGCTTAAACTAGGCAGGCGGGGGCAGGAGATCAGATAAACCCAAAATGAGAGACATTCTACAAAATAACTGTACTGCACCAATCAAATACATCAGTCTTAAAAGACAAAGAAAGAAGAAAAACTGTTCCAGATTAAAGCAGACTCAACAGACATGTCCATTAAATACAATACATTCTCCTGGATTAGAACCTGGGTTGGACAAAATTTCCATAAAAGCTATCATTGGAAAAATGGGCAAAATTTGAATATAGACTGTAAAATTAGCAATATCATTGTATCATTGGTAAATTTTCTGCATTTGTTAACTGTACTGTGGTTGTATTCTTGGAAGATGTGGAAGTGTTTAAGGATAATGGTGCATAGCTTCTGTAATTTATTCTTTTGGCTCAGCAAAAACAATAAAATATATGTGAATATTTAGAAATCAATAACAGAGAGAGAAAGCAAATGTTGCCAAATGTTACTAAGCATGAGTCTAGGGGTAGAATGCACTGTGCCAGAGCTCATGTACCAGTCTTGTAATTTTTCTCTAGGTTCCAAAGTTTTACAAGAATACCATATTAAAGAGCTACAGTGATTTTAAGTAAATGGCGTTTTCTTTTGTTTCGTTTTTTAATAGAAAGGTAATATATACTCACTAAACAGAGGAAAGTAATACATATTCACTAAACTAGAGGTCTGCAAGTGAAGTAAAAGTAAACGGTTTTCCTCTCTCGCATAAGTAAAGTTAAAAATTGATATATATTTTCTCCATATTTCACTAAATTCATACAACGTATGTTTAGTCAGACATCAAGTCTTTCTTAAAGAGTCACCTGAAGTGAGTTGCATCATTTTATCAAATGTTCCGTTGCTTCTAAAACTCATTGGCAAAACAATCAAGTGATATGAGACTGAATCCGTACATTGAGGAAAAAAATCCAGAGCTTTTTATCTTTTTTTTGTCTAGCAGCTGGGCTCGGTGGCTCAGCCTGTAATCCCAGCACTTTGGGAGGGTGAGGCAAGTGGATTGGCTGAGTCCACGGGTTCGACACCCACCCGGGCTACTTGGCAAGACCTTGTCTCTACAATAAATCAAAAATTAGCTGGGCGTGGTAGCACGCGCCTGTAGTTCCGACTACTTGGGAGGCAGAGGCAGAAGGCTCGCCAGACCCCAGCAGATTGAGGTTGTGGTGCCACTGCACTCCAGTCTGGGCAACAGAGTGAGATTCCAACTCAAAAAAAAAAAGAAAAGAAAAAGAAAAGAAAACACCTAACCAGCAAGTCAATGCACGTTTCATAAAATTTAGCAATAATTTACATAAGGAATGCATATTTCAAGTAACTGCCAACCCCTCACCATAACTTTTTACATCCTAAATGCATGTGAATGCAGTACATATGGGGTGCTTTGCCATATTCTACCACGTCTCTCTATCACTCACAATCACTCACTAAGCCAAGTCCCAGAGCAAAGTGAAGTTTGTGTTTTTCCTGCTTATGAGTTATTGCTTATTTGCAGTTTATTGTTACCAACTCAATTTCTGTACTATACACACTCAGGTTAAACAGCTACACAAAAGCAGGACTTGGTGGTTTCCAGTTCCTGTGTTCCCCTGTGTTTTCCTATGCCATTTTCCTGGCTCTTTCAAAAATAGTAGAAAAGGCATTATGCATGTATGTTGGGGGGGCAGGGTTTGGAGTGAATGAATGGGTTATAACGAATGTTTTCCTATCAGAATCTGTTTCTTGTCTCACAGTCTTTTTCACAGCCAACAATTATATAAGAACTTGTTCATTGTTCTAAAGTTGCATGACCTAAAGTTTAAAAATATTAGCATACTTATACACTTCTTTGAACATAAATGGATGAAAATAGTTTATTTTCTATTCTTACCTAATCAATTAGAGGCTTCAGAGTTAAACACTAAAGAACTGGGGTCTGGCCTCCTTGTTTTCACTTGCCTCTCCTGGGCAGCAAATACATTTCTCAGCAATCTATTTCCCAGTCTATAAAATGAGGCCATCATGCTTGCCTATAAAGGACTTAATGACTTTAATGACAAAAAGTGTTCATTCAGTCCAAAGTAAGAAATGGTTTTATTACTTGGCTACTATGAAAAATTTTTGTTGCTCAAAAAATGGGGGAAAGGGAGAGCAAACTCTTTCTCCCTAGTACCCTTTGGTTTTATGTACAGAAGGGCTGTAAAAGCTCTCACTTCTTAGTGATTTCCAAAACCTACTGAAACCCTAAGGCAGAGATATCTTAGCCTTTCTGACCTGGCTTCAAGAATTGAAAACAGCTGGTGGTCACACAATCACAATTGCTAGGAAGAAACTTACAAATGCTACCATTTGGATTTCCTTCTCTAATTGCTACAGTTCACTGACAGTAGTTAATTTAAAAAAATGAAATCATTCAGGGACATTAAATAATAATTATTAAAAAGGTCACTTAAAAAAGATATTGGACCGGGCGCGGTAGCTCACACCTATAATCTCAGCACTTTGGGAGGCCAAGGCAGGAGAACTGCTTGAGCCCAGGAGTTTGCGATCAGCCTAGGTAACATAGCAAGACCCCATCTCTACAAAACACTAAAAAAAAAAAAAATTTTAGTTGGGCATGGTGGTGTACGCCTGTTGTTTCTACTACTCAGGAGGCTGAGGCAGGAGGATCACCTGAGCCCAGGAGGTCAAGGCTACAGTGAGCTGTGATCAAGCCACTGCACTCAGCCTGGGCAACAGAGTGAGACACTGAAAAAAAAAAAATTAAAAGAAAAGAAGAATAATTTGACAAAACAGAACATATAAGCCCCTGCAGGTCAGCTCTGCAATTTGTTTTATTCTCAAGGTAACAAATGGAATGTGGGGACCATATTGTGTCACATTCCTAAAAAAGATGGAAGGTCTCAGGGCTCTGAGCTCATCTAGGACCAGCACAAATCCCAGACTCCAAATCCTTTTCTGATTTTACTAGGAGGACAACTCTCCAACTAGAACTTATAAATCTCTTATTATACTAAGTCCATCACTGTCAGCCTTAAGTAGAGGTGAAATCCAAGAAGCCAGCATTGCTATTTCAGCAGGAAAACAGTGCCTTTTATCTTTTAAAAGATGGTTCCTGATGACCACAATTTCAAGGAGAGACAATGCAGAGTACGAAAACCTCACCTGTTACTCTTTACTGACCTCTCTTGGCTGCCCTGAGAAGAGAAAGGCCTGAACCCTGGGAAGGCCTGAAATCTCACCCCTGACTCCAGGAGAGCTCAGAGAACATTTGGTCTTTCATGCCCTGGAAAGAAATTCTCTCCCTTCAGATGATCCCTAGCAGAACTCAACCCTAAAGCACACGCTGCAATAATTTCTATTTATGGGGCTCCCAGAATGGAAGTTGGGAAACGGCCTTATGGATCAGCCCCAAAGGCCTTGCTAGATCCTTTGCCGCCCTGTGACCCTCTAACTCTGGGTAGGAAAAGCTTATGTAAGTGCTATCGTGACCATGTGTGTCAGCTGGAAAAGACCTTACCTCTTTCTCTATTTTGAGTAGCTTCTTCACAGCCACCTCCTTGTCCTGTGATATCCATTTGGCTCGATAAACACTCCCAAAACTTCCTCCACCGCAGTTTTCAAAAAACTGCAAGTCATCAAATTTAATTTGCACAAAGGAGGTGCCGAGAGACGACATCGCATAATGACAAAGTATTATACTTCCACAAAATCTGCAGAGAGAGAGAAAAAGAAAAGTTGAATTACAAATACATTAGGATGAACCCTTTGAATCCGACTTCAGATAATGTATAACTCCTGTGAAACTTCCAACAAGTCCTGTGAAACTTCCAGAAAGAACCATGAGAACATAGGAGGAAGAAAAGCAAGACTATAAACAAATAAAAACGAAAACACTCACCCTGGCAGCCCATGCAAAACTCAACAGCAACTTGTTCAGACTTTAAAACACAGCTGTCCAAAGAGAAATGGCTCGGATTTCCCCCGGACAAAACCTGTAGCAGCACTTCCTACCCATCCTGAGCTCTGCCGAAAGGCTACTGTGTCACCAGGTCTTCTACCGGGAAGTCCTGCCACATGGGCAGTGTGCTTTCCATGGCAAGCTTGCATAGCTGCTGTGGCATTTGAGGCATGCTTTCTCTCTCTGCCACTCATTTCACACAAAATACACAACCTCAGCCACCGAACATCCTGGCACAAGGACAGCCAACAGGCTGCAGGCTGAACACGCATTCAGCGTTTAGACTCCATAAACAAACTTTCAGTTCAGGGATGATAGAAAAGTTAGCCAAGTGTTTTCCAAAAGTGGCTCCCTGGACTGTGTGCCATAGCAGAGCTTAACTAAAGAGAAGAAAATGCCCTTGATTATAATAGATTAAGTTATCCAAGAATACTGCCAAGATGTTAAAAAAAAATATTATGCTTGTTTCCAGAGGAACAGGTTACCTCTCCCAGGGATGATTACAGCAATATTTTCTGTGGTCTAAGGAGTTTCACTATTCTCCAGGTAAGTGGTCATTCTTCAAACCTCTATGCCAAACCATAGATTAGCAGAAAAAACAAAACCATACCTAAAACACACAAACAAGAAGACAATGGACGGAAATTTTGAACCTGCATAAAAAGCTGCATAAAAATGATGAATAAAAAAGTTTGTATATGTATTCTTGCCAAAAGTGTAAACTAAAACCTTAGAATGAGAGAGCAAAAGGACAAATCTATATTTGTAGGACATTCTACAAAACAACTGGCCAGGGTTCCTCATAATTGCCAATGTCATGAAAGATTAAAAGAAAAAGTAGAGAAAGTTCTAGCATAAGAAAAACTTAAGCCGGGCTCGGTGGCTCAGTCTGTAATCCCACACCTTTGGGAGGCTGAGGTGAGTGGATTGCCTGAGCCCGCGGGTTCGAGACCCGCCTGGGCAACTTGGCGAGACCTCATCTCTGCAATAAATCAAAATGAGCCGGGTGTGGTAGCGTGCACTTGTAGTTCCAGCTACTCAGAAGGCTGAGGCGAAAGGATCGCCGGAGCCCAGCAGGTCAAGGCTGCAGTGGCTGTGAGCAGCCACTGCACTCCAGTCTGGGTGACAGAGTGAGACTCCAAATCAAAAATAAAAAAAAGAAAAGAAAAGAAAAACTTAAAGAAACACAATGCCTAAATGTAATGTGTGACCAATGATTGAATTTTGTAACAAAAATATATAGATTTTAAAATATACTGGGATTTTAGACAAACTGAATATTAACCATATGTTAGATAATATTATTTTATCTGTGGCAATTAATGCCATTTTGGTTTTGTAGAAGGATGTTCTCGTTCTTGGATAATACATGTAGACATTTTAAATTATGATGTCTACCACTTTTAAATGATTCAGTCCCCATCTCCCCCCCCCCCGCCAACCCCCCAAAATGTATGGTTACTATAGCAAAGGCGAGAGAAAGCTAGTGTTGCAAATGTCAAAACCTGGAAAATCCAAGTGAAAGGCATATGAGCATTTGACTACTCTTTCCATTTTTCTGTGATTTTTCTTTCAAAATAAAAAGGTAGAGGGAGGCAGTTTATATCTATATAAATTGGCAATATTTCTCTATAAACAAGTTGGGGCTTTGCTGAGTGATACATCCAGTAAACTCACAGATCTTTTTTTTGAGTCAGAGTCTCACTCTGTCACCCAGACTGGAGTGCAGTGGCACATTCACAGCCACCACAGCCTCGACCTGTTGGGCTCAGGAGATCTATCCGCCCAGAGCTCAGGCAATTCTCTCACCTCCGCCTCCCAAAATGTTGGAATTACAGGCGTGAGCCACCGTACCCAGCCAGCTCAGAGATTTAATGTGCAGCTCACGAGCCATCTCATACAGGAAAATCAGGTCACTGAAGAATGCTGATTTTCTTTTTTTTTTTTTTTGAGTTGGGGTCTCACTCTGTCTCTCAGGTTAGAGTGCAGTGGCACGCTCACAGACACTGCAGCCTAGATCTGCTGGGCTCAGGTGATCCTTCTACCTCAGCCTTTCAAGTAGCTAGAACTACAGGCATGCACCACCATGCCCAGCTAATTTTCCTTGATTTATTGCAGACACGCGGTTTCACCAAGTTGCCCAGACTTGAAACTGTGGACTCAGGCAATCCTCTCACCTCCACCTCCCGAAGTGCTGGGGTTACAGGCATGAGCCACCAGACCTGGCCTAGAATGCTGCTTTCTTATGCAATGTCAAACTCTACTTTGGGGAGAAGGCAGGAAAGAGGAAGGGGTCAGAAACAATGGCTCATACCTGTAGTCCCAGTGATTTGGGAGGCCAAGACAGGAGGATTGCTTGAGGCCAGGAGTCCAAAGCTGCAGTGAGCTATCATGGCAACAAAGTGAGACCCTATCTCTTAAAATTAAAAAAAAAAAAAAAAAGAGGAAGAGTTGTTTGGCCTCTAAAGTCTAAAAGATAGTTTAGTGTCCACATAAAAATATGAGGGGGAAGAGGATCATACTATTCAGATACAGTCTATAAACATATTTGAATCAGCAATTTACCTTACCAAATTTTGCTGTGATTTATTTTCAGTTAAGTATACAAGAAAGTTTGAATAAAATTTAGGAATGTGCCAAGTAAGTACATAGAGTACAAAAGCTAAAAAGTTTGCTCAACAAAATGTAAAATGCCATTTGCAAGATTCCCTCAGCATTACAGATGCTAGCTCTATATTTTTATCAAAGTATAAAAAATGAAATAGACCTATAAAACTTATAATAAAAAATAGAAGTTCCCTGCCCTGCCATTCCACATATCCAATCCTCACTCTCCAGAGGCAACTAATTTCAACTACTTTAGCATTTTCTTCTGGCATTTAACTCCATATTTCTAAATAATATGCTTGTATTGCTATTTCTTGATTTTTTAATTTTAGATATTATATATTAACTTTTCCTGTAGAAGATAAGGATTCATTTCTCATACACCATACTTTACCTCCATGAATACAAATGTGCCACACTTGCCCAATCCTCCCAGCTTCCAACTATATTATAAAATTTGGTTAAGTCAATATTTAGTGTTTACAATAGTCTGATAAAGTAAATATTATTCCCAGCAGTGTCATAGAGGATTCAATAATTATATTCCTTTCTTGGATAACTTTTTGTTTTCCCTAGAGTTATTAGTTGTTTTGTTTTTGCTCCATTGTTGTTGTTGTTTGCTTAGCTTTTTATACTCCTAACATTTATTCATTTCATCAGACTCTTCCAGGAACTATAAAATTTCTTTCAATAAAGTGAAAATATCAAATAATTCTTTTTTTTTTTTTTTAAGACATTCCTTCATCCAGATTCAATCTGGCTGGAATAGTTGCTTTCTAGGCCTGACGTGGACTTCCCTTCACTATCATACTAAGAATCTCCTTCACTTTCTTCCTCTGTGAGAAGCCTGTCTTTTGATACCCTGTCTTCTTTCTTAGCTTATTCCCTTTGACAACACACGTCTCCCATTAGCTACCTGAATAGAGCACACAGAATATAATTTTTTGAGAATCTGTATGTCCTAAAATGTCTTCACTGGTAGCCTGACTGAGTATGCAATTCTAGGTAGGAAAAAATTTTCCACGTACTCTTTTCATTTTCTCCTAATTTCTAATGTGGCTATTGAGCAGTCTCATGTGACTCTGATTGCTAATCCTTTTTTATTGTTTTTTCCTCTCTGAAAGCTTTTAGGATACTCTCTTCATTCCTGGAATCCTGAATTTTAACAGTGTATGCTTAGGAATGAGTCTTTTTCAATCACTGGTAGGATGCTCAGTGAACTCTCAATCTTTAAACTCATGTCTTTTAATGCCAGAAATTTTCTTGTGTTTTTCCACAAGCACTCACAGCCACTTTTACTTCATGTCTTCTCACTACACACATACACACACACACACACACACACACACACACACACACACACACACGCACAACTGCTTGCAGTTTCTCTCTCACATCTCCACACCTGCACGGGCTAGTGTCTCTGGTTTGAATACCTTTCTCTGCCCAGCAAACTCCTGTCCCTGAATACCACTATGAGCCTCCTGAGGAAGTTAAATTCTCCCTTTCTTTACCTTCGTCTTTCCCACTTCATTCCCATAAGACTATAAATTTCCTAAAGGCAAGCTCATTTCTATTTATAACTGTTACCTTCAGCAGCTAGTACACAGCCAGGCACATAGTTTGCAGTTTTTCTATTAAAAAATACTTATTGAATAAATGAATAAATATTTTCTAGTTATTCTTCTATTATACCATTTGCAGCTGAAAAGATTTCAACCACATTATGTAAAACCTGGACCCTGTGTTTTTACAAGTGCTCTAGAGAGTTCGGAAGCAAATTCTGATTTGGAAACTGCTGCCTAGGCTTCTTGGGAGACTGAGGAGTGTGTGTGGGAAGTCCAGTATTGGGCTCTCTGAGTCCAGAGTTGAAGAGAGAGGAGTAAAGAAATCCTTTCCAAAACAGAGGTAGAGATCTGAACTGCCATGAGATCACTATGAATCAACCTAAGCCCTATGTTACGGAGCAAATCCAGGGAACATAGATGAACCCAGGAAGGATCAGTCACATCTGATACTAACCCAATGGTGCTGGAGGAAGGCCAGGCTCTGGGAAGCACCTTCCTCTAGGACTTAACCCCTTGACAGGAGGCAACTAGTCATGTTCTTCCCAGAATCACTACTCACAATTTAGGAACTGGCTAGATATGAATGGAACTATGCAATTCTTAAATGTCTTATCAAGACTGTAAAAAATTAAGTCCTGCCTGATTATTGAAGCAAGAATAATCTAGGGTATATGAGTACAGATTTAACTCCAGTGAGCTTGGCAAAGCATCATGCATTTAGCTGAAAAACTTAGTTGAGGTCCTCATTTCCATATATATGAATGCCAGACCACATACATAATTATTTTCCCTTTGAACTTTCTCTCTTTTAGTTTAAAAATCATTATACTGAGAGAAGACCAGAAGAATGAAAAATCTGAGTTGTTGGTTAATCATATTTAGAGCATGTTGGGGAAGACTCCCACCCAAACAAATTATGTTCTAATTTTTCAAATGTATTCTCCAGTGAATACATGTGAATTTAATAAGTCATC